TATTAAATAATAGATTATTAGTAAACAATACAAGGCTTTCATACACAGAGTATCGGGTTTTTAAATTAAGTATTAAGATTTTTTTTAAAGATTTTCTCGTGGATTTTTATTTTTATGTTTTACAGAATGTTAACTATCCAATGTGCAAAGTAATATTGATTTTAAGATAAAAATACTTTTCTTTATCTGAAAATTGTCAAGTTTTATTTGCATAATCTCTCTATCCTTCTAGATAATCATCAAATGTTTTTTAAATAAAAATATATATTTAATCTGTTATTTTATCAATGTTAACTCTATGGTGTTGGTCAAATTGACTGACCTCGTAACCGTAAGAAAAATTAGAATATAAATATAAATTACCTTTTTTTTGTTTGTTTGTTTTGAATAAATCTATTTATATTTATTAATTTTTGTTTCATTGACCTTTGAACTATGTCTGACTAAAAATACCACAACACTATCATATCAAATAACGTAATGCACAAGCTGCTGGCACTTGTACCCCATGAAAAAATTAACTAATATATAATACTAGAATTTGAATTATAATCCACAGTTTTATACCAAGTTTATTGACATACATTCATATAATAGTAGTTCAATAAAATATTGAATATAAGTCTACAAATGTGATAAAATCCCCTCTGACCCTCTACTTGTCTCGATAGGGTTAATTTTGTCAGGGATATTGCTCTGAATTAACTGTGGGAATGAAGTTGTGAGTAAATCACTAGGGCTATATGCTAGGCTTAGATTAGTATGTAAGAATGAGCAATTTGGCTGGTTGGACTTGAGATCACTTGAGAAGGAAGCTTTTTGGAATGGATGGTTTATATTTGAATAGGATAGGGACTAGCTTGTTTGCTATGGCTATTAACTCTGCTGTAAGGGAACTTTTGAACTAGGACTGTATGGTGGTGAGGGCCAGGATATACTAAATACAAATAGAATAGAAGGCAGAGAAAAGTTTAGCATAGGAAATGAGTATAGAAGTTAGTTATAATATAGGCTTAATTGTTACTATTGTAATGCTAGAAGTATAAGAAATATAATAGATGACTTTAAAGCACTAGTAGTAATGGAGAATTTTGATATAATGGGAATAACTGAACATGGTTAAACATAGATGATTTTGATAACAGAAATTTCTTTGAAATACAGTGTAACAGGCTATTTAATGGGGATAGAGTACTAAAGAGAAGGGGAGGAATGGTTTTATGTGTGAGTTACATCCAGTTGAAGTTGAGGATATCAAAGATAATAACAAGGAGATTGTATCCATTTGGGTTTCTGTTAGTGGATATAAAGGGGATAGGCTTTTAGTGGGAATTTGTTACAGACCACCAGATGATACTAATGAAATTAATGAAAACTGGACAATAAGATTAAGATTTCAGTTGTTAATGAAGTCATAATTATGGGTGATTTTAATTTCAGGCATACAGATTGGGAAAAGCTAGAGAGAAATCACGAGGGAGAAAGGTTTTTGGAAACTGTTCAATATGGCTTCCTTCACCAATTAGTCAAGGAACCTACTAGAAACAATGCTACTTTAGATTTATTGTTAACTTCAAATAAAAGAGATGATTGAGAGGGTGGAAATTTGGGAACTTCTGTGTGCAAGTGATCATTGCTTAATTAGGATCAATGTTTTGCTTCATATGGAGATAAAAAAAAAACACCTGATATTTTGGTTACAAATTTCAAAAAAGCTAATTTTGGAGAGATATCACAAGAATTATCTTTTGTGAATTGGGCAGCTGAGCTATTTGTAGACTAATCGGGTGTGCAAAAGTTGAAGATAAACATTTCTTATAGAAAGAAAAAGGGTAACTGCAAGTAAAAAACCAGGTTGGCTCACAAAGGGTATAGGAGATAAAATTAAAGAAAACATCATAAATTTAAGAAATTTAAATTGACTGGTATGATGGGAGATTTAGAAGATCAAGAAAGTTGGTCAAACAGGAAATTAGGACACCAAAAAGGATGGTTGGGAAAGGATAAACAAAATGTTAGGATGGAGGAAAGACCCTTGAGAAATGATAAAGAAAGGCTTATAACTGATGATTAGATAGCTGGGTTATTAAATTTTGCTTCAGTTTTTATTAATAAATATATAAACAGTATTCCACATCTTGAACAGTTGATAGATGGAAACAAGATGACTGCATTAATTCTGAAGTTGTTAAGAAAAAATTGGGAAATTTAAAGAATGATAAGGCTTCTGGGCCAGGTGTTATTTCCCCAAGGGTTTTGAAGGAGATTAAGGATTGGATATGCGAGACACTGGCTACTATTTTTTTGTAATTCCTTGAATAGTGGGCAGGTACCAGAGGAATGGGAATTAGCTAATGTCACTCCTCTTGTCAAAGAAATTGTTCCAGTAATTATAGGCCCATTAGTCTTACATCAGTTGAGGGAAAAGTTTTGGAAAGTCTGATAAAAGATGCCTTGCAAAGTAATTTAACAAATTTTAGAAGTTTATTGGATAGTCAACATGGTTTCATTGAGGGAAAATCTTGCCTTACAATTCTTTTGACATTCTTTGAAAAGGTTACTGCTTATGTAGAAGATGTGGGGGATAAATTAGGAAATTGGAAAGAAGAGTGGCTGGATGGAAGAAAGCAGAAGGTTGTTACAAATGGAGTTCAGTCAAACTGGATTACTGTCAAGTTAGGTACCTCAAGGCTCAGTCTTAGGACCCTTTGCTCTTTTTTATTTATGGCAATGACATAGATGAAGGAATGGTCAATGAATTACTTAAATGTGCAGATGATATGAAGGTCTAGGCTGTTGATAACTGTGAAGAAGATGCTGCTGATTTACAAAAGGATTTAAATCATTTAATGAGTTGGGCAAATAAATGGCAAGTGGGTTTTAATTATAATAAATGAAAGATAATGTATGTGGGTTATTGTAATATGAATTATAAGTATAATTTTTATGGGAATAAACTTAACCGTATCTTGAAAGATGAGGATTTTGATGTAATAGTTGATCAGTCTCTTAGGCCATCCAAGCAGTGTGCTGTTGCTAGTGGTAGGTCGATAGGATATTAGGTTGTATCTATAGAAATATTGAATACAAGTGTAAAGAGGTTATAATTTCATTGTATGGGTCACTGTTTAGGCCGCATTTGGAGTATTGTGTTCAGTCTTGGGCTCTTTACCTTAGGAAGGACATTGTAAAGGAAATTTATAGTGTTACTGCATCATCATTTTTTTTTTCTTGCTTAATAGTGAGAATAGTAGGGCTAGGGGACACAAATATAAATTTTGGCAGAGTAGGAGTCATATTCAGCTAAGACAGTTTTATTTTTCTAACAGGGTGGTTGGCCTTTGGAATGGATTGCCTTCAGATGTTGTGGAAGCAGTAATTTTAAGTGAGTTTTAGAGAAAGCTTGAAAAGTGTGTGAATGATAAGGGCTGGCTTCAAGATTTATTTTATTTATCTATTTATTAATAGTTTTAGTTTATTTTAGAGGACAGGAGAGCCGAGATGGACCAGTAGGTCCCATGTTATCCCAAAATGTTGTTATTATTTGCTTGTACAAGTTCAATTGTCTCTTCAAGTGTGAAAAGACTAGAGTGATTTGATGCATTTTAGGTTCATCTTCTCATAAAAATTAAGCAGTTTTTAACTGTAAACATACCAGTGTTTTGAGTAGCAAAATATGCCATGTTGGATATTAATCCTCAACTAAGATTAGGCTTTTTCTGTTGATTTTGTGCATTTGAATTACATTTCTAGTAGAAAATTCAAACCGCATTATGTTGGTCACCAAACAACGACAGGCATGCCTAAAGAGTTAGAGCTATTCTAGGCCTTAAGCTCTGTAGGATCAAATTTTCAACAGAAAAAAAAACACTTTTACTGGGACTTGAGAAACATCACTAAAATTCAAGAGACTTTAAAGTATATCACCTTATAAGTCTATGAAAGATGCTTGAACGACTCATGAATTTGTATTACTTATTCATCCAAGTATTTATACAATTGTAAAAAATTATAAATTTGCCTTAGTGTTATAGGCCTGAGATTGTGACACACCTAAGAAGGCCTGAATACTTTTCTGCTTGTAATGTTTTTCTGTACAAGTACATTGTAATTATTTAAGTTAGTAACATTTTGGGTATGATAATATACATAAATTATCCAGATTTTCATGACATGGTCAAATTACAATGAGTAAGTAGTAGTAAAACTGTACATCATCAATACATACATATAACTTCAGCGAAAGTAGAGTATAATATGTCAACCATGCCATATACTCTTGCTCTTCAGGTCAGCTTGAATACAATAGGCATAGTGGTTGAAAGGGAATTTTATATTAGCAAATTGTTTGACAAGTATTACAGAGTAACCTAGATTTAATTTGGTGAAATGCAATTTTCATTAGTTTTATTGATGTCACAAATACATCAGAATTAAATTAAGGATTTTTAACACTATTTTCTTAATGCCGCATATTAATTATTTTCTTGAATTAAGTTGCTTTTTATTCAGAAAAACTGGCATACAACAATAAGGAGTTAGGGAAGGTATGTTCAACTAAGAAATTAATTGTTTAATTTTTAACACCAGTTGGCAATTTACCAGGCTTTCCATACAAGAAAAATTCTGGCTTCACAAAATTCAAAAAGATTTCTTGTGTTCCAAGATAATGTTTTCTTCTTAAACATAAAATGCTTGGACTATTCAGTTACACAAAGTAAAACAAAGAATTTAGCATTTTACAGTTTCTCCATTTTTGTGTCTGAATACGTTTTCTAATGAGTGAACCAATAATAATATAAAAAAAAATCTACAAATCACTTGTTTTTTGGAATTATTTTTCTGACTTACATTTATAATTATTACTTTGTAAGGTAAGCAATTTCTGTTTTTGTTTTGTATTTCCTAAAAACTGTTGATTCTGTTTAACTCTGTGGTTTGAAACAATTCATCCAGGATCTCTCACACAGTTAAGAATTTAAAATGTTTTCATGTTGCAGGGTCTTTTAGATAAGTACCTGATTCCTAAAGCTAGCAATGCAGAAAGTAAAGTTTTCTACCTAAAGATGAAAGGGGACTATTATAGGTATCTGGCTGAAGTTGCAACAGGGGATCAGAGAAACAGTAAGTTAGTACTTATGTATAAAGTAAATTTGCTTGAATCTTAGCATGAAAATTTACTAAACTTGGATTACTATTTTTACATGTTCAAATAATGGATTCTAGCAGAAAGGATTTGATATATCAAGTGTTGTTAAAATATAAAATGTTTAATGCAAAGCATTGCCATCGTACCTATCAGTACAGAGTTGACTTACTGGCCGAAAGAATTGGACATAAGTATGGTTTATTATTGTGTAATGCAAAACTATTAGTTACAGTATGTTTATAGACATTTGAGGCTTGTATTTTAATTTTTTGAACTAACTACAAAACATGGATTAATAATTATTTTGATCAATAAAGACACCAACATTCTGTCTTTGGTTAGGTGCCCTCAATGTTAGAATCTCCCTAGTTCTTAGGATTCTAAAATTCAGTGTCTTTAGGAAACTTTTTATTGTGGTTTGACATCAAGACATTGAACTTGCAGAGGTTGCATGTCGTAGGTATGCAATATTAGTGACTGGAGTGAGTCAACAATTTATAAATTAAATTTGTCTATGTGATGTTAACTTTTACCCTTAGGGGACAAGTTTGTCCAAATTGTGTGCTGTGTAACTTAACCATTTGTTAACCTTACATCTTTGGATAAATTGTCTTTTTTTAGATTACGCGTGTACAGAACTTGACATTAGCTCTTTTGTTTTTTGTAGATATCATATTTTGTATTTGGCTGGTCCCTTTATTTGAACCGTGCTGTTTTTTTAGATGCGAAATATTTTTGTCAGATAATTTTTTATTATATTTCCAGTTTTATTTGCCAGAGTATTTCATCTATCAATCTACATGAGTACATGATTCCAATATCAAGCCACTTGCTTGGTATGTACCTATAACTAATTAAAAGAAGGTTACAGGAAGTGAACCAGTATCATACAGTACACAATAATAACCTCGAAAAAGACATGATCATTACAAGTATAATTTTTTGAATTGGCATACAACTAAAGTTTTGATTTTAATATTGGAAATGTACTTTATTTATAAAAACAAGCTTTTGGGTAAGTGAAGAATGAATTATGAGAAAATGTGTTTGTAGCCTGAAATGTTTTGTTGTCTGCCACATTTATAGCTGTTACTATTATTAATATGTCTGTTATTACTTTTATATTTTTCTTAGTTTGGAGAAAGGTTTCTTTTTAAATTGAATTACCTAATATTGTGTAACACTTCTAAGAGGTAGTTTGTAAATTATAGTTAAGATATATAGTTAGGAAGACTTGTTGATTTCTACTTCTAAATTTTAAGGAGTGAGATTCGTAGTATGGTGATGGAGCACTGATTCATGGTAATATTAGAACATAATTAAAATACTCAAACCATCAACATATTTAAGTACACAATTTAAAAGCTAATCTGAAACTATCAGAGGTCTTTTAACAGACACCACATGCTTTGATGTTCATCACATCATCTGCAGGAGTGTAAAGTTAAAACAGTTAACCATTTGTACCAGAACAGTCATGTTTCCTGTAACTTGTGTACAGCAAAATGTAAAGAAGGTTACACCATATGTATACTTTCAGACCTATCAACCCTTCATTCTTATTCAAGATGCAATTATTTTTACTGTATATTTATTTAGATTCTCTAATACTTCTAGTTGTGACATTAGTTCAACCAAAATAACAGGTTTTTTCTCATTGAATAATATGACTTGCATGTTTGACCAATGCAGAATTTCCAATCATTTTTAACATTTGAATTAATTATTAAATAGTTATGTAGTAAACAGGTAAACTGGCTAGATTTGGAAACAAGTTTTAACTTGTTCCTGCCAATGTTCTCAAGTGGGAGAAGTATTTTGGCTACTAGCTATTTTTTTATGTTTTGATATTAGTTATTGATATCGTTTTAATTATTTAAGAGATATTTCATGGTCTAAGTGTTTATTAGAATTGTTTAATTTTTGTAAAAGTTATGATTGTATAAAAATATAAGAGCTGTAGTCACTGACTTGCTCACAAATCATTCTTATGATTCAAAGCAAATCACATTTAAAAAAGTTTATGTATTAGTAATAAAAAAGCATTTAGTGTACTTTCAAATGATGTGCATAATACTTACATAATAGTTAACTTTATAACACAAGTTAACTTGTATTGTAAACTTAAGTGTTCCCACATATGAATGCTGGGAACTTGCACAAAAGAATATTTCCATGACAAGAGTGAATGAAATGGCTTTATTTATTCTGTAGTTTATTTTGTCACTAAAATAATTATTTGTTACTTGTGAGCCTGTGGCCGAGTTAGTTAAAATATGTAATGAAATCCACCCAGTGCCTGACTTACGTTATGGCAGTGCAGAGGTCTCACATGATTGGTTGATTTGGACACTTACATTCAGATTTTACCAAGCAACAGCAGATAGGTAGTGATTGGTTAGTAGCTGTCATTAATGTGAGTGTGTAGTTGTAAACCTCTAGTATTTTTGTTTGAAATCTCATGCACATATTCTTTTTGTTAACTATTTGTACTTGTATTTTCAGTGTTCTCATGTGGGAACATATTTTGGTAGCTTTAATTCTATTGATTGTTTATATGATATATGGGTTAAAAGAAAATGTGTGAACAAATGTGGTTGCACAAAATGAGCTATGAATGGTAAGGTAAAGTATTATGGATAGGGGATAGCTACTTGTATAGGTTGAGAAACAAGTGCTTATTGTTTAATTGCCACATTGAAGATTGCTTTAGTCTAAATTTTGTTGGAGGGAAAACTGTTTTCAACTCTTTGTTAAAAGAGTGATAAAAAAGTAGGATATTTGCTGCTCGGAAAGAGAACAGACCTAGTAGAGATGTGATATCACAAAACTTCTGTTGCTGCACGGAAAGAGAATAGACCTAGTAGAGATGTGATATCACAAAACTTCTGTTGCTGCTCGGAAAGAGAATAGACCTAGTAGAGATGTGATATCACAAAACTTCTGTTGCTGCTCGGAAAGAGAACAGACCTAGTAGAGATGTGATATCACAAAGCTTCTGTTGCTGCTCGGAAAGAGAACACACCTAGTAGAGATGTGATATCACAAAACTTCTGTAAATGTTGTATATGCATGGTTAGTAACAGTAAAGGGGAAAACAAAAATATTAATATTTTTTGAAGTCGTGCAATTGGACATTTACACAAGTGGATTTAATAGGTTTGCTGAAAGTACATGTTTCTTATTGTGTGAGACTATGAACATGAACTCACAGAATTATTAAAGACTAGCCATACTTAACTAACATTGCCCGAGTATTACCTGAACAGAGGGCCAATGTTGCTATTTTTAAACAGAAAGGATCAAACGAAGGCCTCGTGTTCATGATGTTATTAGCGAATGGTGCTCTGCAGGGCAGATGCAGTCACTATCTCTGCAAAATTGCTGCTCTTGCTCATTCTTGGCTTAGCTATGAGTAGCTTGTCTTTTTAGTTGGCTGTCAAGGCGTGTTTTCCTTTCTTGTGGAATCTCTCACTGTTGCATTTGTTACATACGTTTTGCTGCTTGTGATTGGCAATCACAATTGTATTTTCTTTTTCTAAACATTTTACTCTGAGATACATAATCAGTGTCAGAAATGTTTATTATAATGCAACTTCCCTCCGAAAATAAAGTGAATAAAAACCAATTAATTTTTGCAGAATTTTGCAGGTCTATTCTATAATAAAAAAAAGTGTTGTTTGTCAATAGATGCAACAGCATTTGATGGATTTTTATTCTGACATCACAACAGCAGCACCATTTTTGAATGAATAGAGGGATCATTTATAAATAAAAAACAAAACTTTTAAGAGTATGAAAATAAGTACATGGAGGATAGTGAGATTTATAAGCATAGTTAAACATTACATTAAGAAAAGTACTGTTAATGTTAGGAGATAAAATATAAATGCCCTAATTTAATTCATAAAATGTGACTTGGTTTTTATTTTAAGTATACGTGCTATAAACAACTTTTTACAAATGTTTTTACCAGTGAGAGAGAAGATATATTAGATCTAATCAGTTTATTTAACCCTTTCGGCCTGGCTACACTTTACTGCACATGACACAAAGTTTTAGTGTCTTACATTCAAAATTTTATTAAACTACTTTTTGTTTATGTTATACCAATTAGAATAGCATAAAATCTCAGCTAATAATCCATATTTTAATAGTATACACGTTTTAAGTTCTTAATTGTACAAGGAAATATATTAAAAAAATCCTGATATTCCACTAGTGCAACACACGT